GCCCCAGCAGGGGTCAGAGCTAAGAAGGGCCAAGCGGCTGTCAGAAAATCAGGCCTCAGTTTCTAGGCTGAGGACTCTGAAACAGGGGCTTGGATTTTCTGGGTGAGATCAGCAGAGGTGAAGACAAACAAATGGACACTAGGAAATGAACACAGAGTCAATAAAATCTAGTCCATTTAACTGGACTCTGGCCGTCTGGTGACTTCACTAAACGAATCCTATGGTCAGTTCGCTGGCCATTCAACTGCTTTCCCATCCACAGTCTTCTTCCCGCTACCTACCTACCAACTCACCCAGACTCCACCTTCTAAATCTACTCTTTGGGGGCTACTTTTTTTTCTATGGTGGTTTAAATTTATTTTTGAGAGAGAGAGAGAGAGAGAGAGAGAGAGAGAGAGGCACACACACACACACACACACACACACACACACACACACACACAGAATCCGAAGCAGGCTCCAGGCTCTGAGCTGTCAGCACAGAGCCTGATGTGGGGCTCAAACCCACGAACCACGAGATCATGACCCGAGCCGAAGTCACATGCTCAACTGACTAAGCCACCCAGGTGCAAAGGGGGCTATCTGTACGCAAATACAAGTATTCGTTTGAAAGACTTATGGGAAAGGTGTGACGTTAGTGTGTTTATTTTTTATTTTTTATTTGTTTATTTTCCAGTTAGTTAACGTACAGTGTAGTCTTGGCTTCAAGAGTAATGCCCGTCGCCCACTTAACCCACCTCCCCTCCAACAAGCCCAAAATAAGTACACATACACGTACAGAGAGTAACCATCAGTGGACTGGTGCTGCATCGTGTGGAGCAGGACAGAAGTCACAGCTGTGACCTACCTTGCGGATGGAGACCAGGCCTACCAACACAGAGGGCATGTCATACACACTGTTTAGCCAGTGCCCACGCAGAACTCATTAGCACATACAGAAGACTGTTCCACCCCCTGGGCTAGAGGATGACTCAAAGTCAATAACCACAGGGGGGAATCTAACATGCGAAGCAGATGCAAGCCTTTTTTTTTTTTTTAATTTATAAATAGGATCAAAAGGCTCCTACCTCTGTTACAAACTTATTAGAGGACACTAAACCTGTTCTAGGATCCTTAAGTCTAGTAGTGAATCAGGAATAATGATCCGCCAGGAAAAATGGAAAAAGCCATTATTCCTGTAACTAAAGCAATGTTCCGTGTCCCTCTGGGGGCGGGACAGTCCACTGGAGCACATCATGGACGACTACTGCTCTTCATTGAGTTTATCTTTGGAAATCCGTTCCAATATTTGGTTTGGACTCTTCTTGTATATAAAAAGAATCAATGTCATGGTTTAATGTGCCTTCTCCTACTAATGGAATTAGCTTACGCCAAAAGACGCACACTTCCAAAGTCTGTAGCGACGTCCCAAGACTAAATCTCTGAAGTAATTCTGAAAAAGGGCGAGGGAATGATTTATGTGATGTGGAGCAGAAGGTAGAAAATTAAGGGGAAAGAAGACCCAGAGATTAATCTGCAGCCACAGAACCCTGTATCACGGCATACACATTGAGGTGGAACACAATTTACTTCTGTCTTCTATCAAAGTGGGACTGACTTTATTTCATGCCTTCGAGATGACAGCACTCAAGTGCAGCCCGAGTCCTAGGGCCTCCGTCACAGTCAGTCAGGGCAGAGCCTACAGCATGAGCAAGCCTATAGCAGACCCCGGCTCCCTCTCCCGAGCTGCTCGAGAGCCACATGAGGCCTGAGAAGTGGGCACCGTTTGTCCTCCATTTGCCAACAGTGTTTGATTTAAAAAGTGCTAACAGGGCACCTGGCTGGCTCAGTCGGCTGAGTGTCCAACTCTTGGTTTCAGCTCAGCTCATGGTCTCACAGTTCGTGAGTTCAGGCCCCGTGTCGGGCTCTGCACTGCGGAGCCTGCCTGGGATCCCCTCTCTCCCTCTCTCTCCCTGCACCTCCCCCGCATGCACGCACACTCTCTCTCTCAAAATAAAAACAAATAAACTTTTTTAAAAAGTGCTAAGATAAGATTCTAGTTTCCAAAAAGCTGTATGTATAAAGGACCATTTCCCAAGACACTATCCCTTCGAAATGACGTGATAGATAGCTTTCTTTTAGAGCAAAATGGTGAGTGCATAAGGAATAGATGATGTCGTCTGGAGAAGATGCTCCCACTGCCAATTACTCAGCTGACCTCTGTGAATGGAACCCGGTCCTCAGGATCCAAGAGGATTTACTCATGTTTATTATTCTACTCCCAGGCAGACAAGAGTGTTCATCAACGGTTACCTCCTTGCTGAGGGCAAAGGTCTGGTGAGCGCAGACAGCTGAACGGAGAACAACAGTGCTCTCGCGGTGCAGTGAGAAGGTAGAGAGGCAACAGGATTATCAGGGCTGAGGGAGGGGTGAGGCAACAAGAGAAATTCCCTGTGATGTTTATACCCTATAAAAATGTGTATGTGACGGAGCAAGACGTTGAGGCTGCGGGGCTCATGCTGAGTACTGTCCTTCCTTGCATTAATGCTGAGTGCTGGCCTCCCTCACAGGCCGTGTGCTGGAATAGAAAGGGCAGTGGGAGGCTTTGGTGAACGACATTGGGGAGCCAGAAAAAACAAAACTTCTGGCTCCAAGATGGTTCTCCCATGGATCAGTCCTGCATGGCGTGATTCAGGGAGCCAGGCAAAGTCTGAGGCCGATGACTCGAGGAGCTGGTGCCTGTTTCAGTTCTGACCAACCTCTCCTCTCTCGCCCTCCCAGTTCGCCTTCTCTCTCTGTCCCAAGGCTCAAATGTGGCTTTGAATTCAACAATTGAAAAAAAAAAAAAAAAAAAAAGGGAACATAATTCCGGCCGACTTCGGTGTCTCGCCGACAGACTAGGCATAGACTTTGCCTTTCCCAGAGGCAGGGTTTACCTTCTCTGCTGGTAGAGAAAGGATGATGCCTTCCCTCCCACCACCACCCCAGGGCTTCCCAGGTGAAGAATTAGCCAAAAGCACGGTACAAGGCCTCATCGAAACCTAACACATGAGGCACATTCGATACAATTAGCTTCTCTCCACCCTCCTTCTCCACTTTCTTAGGCGGTCAAGCGAAACCACATTGCTCTATACGTCTGGTCAAAATAACTTAGAAAGCTGAATTGCCGATATGTCCAACCTCCACTGACCTCCAGGAGCCACCCACCTAAGTTCTCATGGTAACAAACCCAGAGGCTGAGTCAGCCTCTACAGCTCTCACTCTCCCCATCCAGAGGACAAGTTTTCTCTGAGGATTACACAACTTTGATTAAAAAAAAAAAAAAAAAAAGTCATGGGAACAAGCAGTACAGAGAGAACATTTTACATGCTGTTTCAGTCATTAGAAAGTTGCTGTATCATAGTCTTCCACATTGCAGGGGACGCTGCAGAGACTTAACGAAGGTTTTTGAGCCAAATGTGGGTTCTCATTAAAGCTATACTGGACACAAGCCTTTCTCTAATAAAACCGAACATCACCACTTATCAGGAAACCAGGTCCTATGGGAAAAAGAAAAAGGGAAGGGCACTACCGATGGTCATGTGGGGATCTAGGGGTGGGACAGGAAAAAAAAAGAGCCTTAATAAGGTAAAGTAGACAGAGCAGATCAATAAAAGCCCCTCTCCTTTCCCTTGCACTTGAGTTGGGTTTTTTTTTTTAAGTTTATTTATTTATTTTGAGTGAGAGAGAGAGAGAGAGAGAGAGAGAGAGTATGTGTGTGTTCTCGAGCCAGCGTGCATGTGAGCTGGGGAGGGGCAGTGAGAGAGGGAGAGAGAGAATCCCAAGCAGGCTCTATGCTGTCAGATGTGGGGCTCCATCTCATGAACTGTGAGATCGTGACCTGAGCCAAAATCAAGAGCCGTACGCTTAACTGCCTGAGCCACCCAGGCGCCCCTCAGCTGGGTTTTTTTGATGCCTGTTTATTTTCAGAGAGAGAGAGGGGAGGGGAGGGGCAGAGAGAGAGGCAGAGAGAGAATCCCAAGCAGACTCTGCATTGTCAGTACAAAGCCCGATGCAGGGCTCGAACCCGCAAACCATGAGATCATGAGCTGAGCCAAAACCAAGCGGGACACTTCCTTGGCTGAGCCACCCAGGCGTCCCCACTTGGGTTTTTTTAAATACAGTTCTGTGCTGTGAATTAGAGAATAGGGGTGTATGTCTTCTCTTGTCTTAGTTAGATAAAAACACCAGGCAGAAATGGGTATCATTAGAATGGGAAACATTGGAGATGGGGCAAAAACAGGGTTTTATAACCAAGCTGAATTTTTTAAGCTATCCGTATTTTATTTTCTTGTACAAACTGTGTACATGTTTACATTTATATTTGTGGGCAATTGCCAGGAATTGACAAGCTGACCCGAGTCCTTCACAGTCTCAAGAAGAGATCACTTGTTAATATTTCTATCGGACTTAACAGTGCTCAAAGCGCTGCCTCACATGTTATTAGAACCTACTAGTAAGGTATTAATATCCCTACTTTTAAAATGGAATTATAATTAACATACAGTTAATTATACAGTTAACATACAGGTGCACAACATGACGATTTAGCGATTCTGTGCATTACTCCGTGCTCATCATGGTAAGTGCAGTCACCATCTGTCACCAAACAACATTATTACAATATTTATTGTCAATTGTCACTTACAATATTATTGACTACATCCCCGTGCTTTTCATCTCCATGACTTATTTATTTTATAACTGGAAGTTTGTCCCCTTTATCTATTTCATCCATCCCCACTCCACCCACCTCCCCTCTGGCAACCACCAGTTTGTTCTCTGTATTAATATCCCTAGTTTTATTTAACAGATGAGGACATTGAGGCTAAGGGGAATTGAGTGATTTTCCCCCAAGGTCTGACAGGTAGTGAGAAAAGAGTCAGCGGGCTCAAACGCAGATCTCCTGATGGCAAAATTCTCCTCCCACACCAGGCTGCCTCTCATTTATTTTCCCCACCACAAAGAAGGGCAGTTCTTACCTTCCAACTCTTCTTTCTCATAGTGAATGTTAAGAATTGTACTGGTCCCACCCTGATCCACCACGGCTTCTTCATCTGGTCTCTGTTGAAATATAAATAAGTAGCCATAGTAATAAGCATACGTTCATTCAGACATCCACTTAAGTACCACATGTATGCCAGACCCTTTTTGCAACCCTTGGGGGAGAAAACACAATGGTTTACATACGTTTTTCATTTGAACCTCACAATAACTTTGAGATGCAAAAATGACAGCCATTCTCAGGGGTGCCTGGGCGGCTCAGTCCATTACGTAACCGACTTCGGCTCAGGTCATGATCTCACAGTTTGTGAGTTCGAGCCCCACGTCGGGCTCTGTGATGACAGCTCAGAGCCTGGAGCCTGCTTCAGATTCCGTGTCTCCCTCTCTCTGCCCCTCCTCCGCTCTTGCTGTCTCTCAAAAATAAATAAATGTTTAAAAAAAATTTTTTTTAATGACAGCCATTCTCTTTCTCATTTTGTAAATGAACAGCCAGAGACTTAGAGAGGATTAAGTAATTATTGCCCAAGGGCACAAATGTGGTAAAAGGCAGGGGTGGGATGAACTCTGGTCTTGTGACTGCAGATATCACGCCTTTTCTACCTCCCCACAAATGCAAGTGCATAGCATGTCTGCATTTTGCAAGCGGTGTCAACCACATGGTTTTTTTTTTTTTTTTTTTTTTTTTAAGTGTCGACTTATCTCCTTGATCTCTCTTCAGTATTTGAGCCTGTTGTCCTTGAAATTCTCCATCCTGCTCCTTTGATCAAGTCTCCCCTGTCTCATTCTAAGGCTCGTCTTCTTCCTCTAACCATAAATCCCAAGCAAGAGCGCTCTACCTTTGGTTTCCCTCACTTGAGTCTTCCAATTTCAACTACAGCCTGAGACTGTTGACTCAGTATTTGACAAACCATTGGGATGTTGACCACAAGACCCACGTTGTCTAAAACCAAACTGATCTTCTTTCCAAAACAAGCACCCTGTGCTCATTTACTTACACTTACCCACGGCAGGACTGTTTCTTAGTCCACATCTGAAATTTCAAATGCATTTATTTATCCGTTCCACGTGTATTAAGTGCCTATTATATGCCTTCAGGGAGATAGCTTCCTTTTCTTATCAGGTCCTCCTGTGCGATTGCTCTCAAATCTACTCTCATCTCTCATCTACTCTATGCCACACTCCTGTGCCCTTCAGTCATACTGGACGTGTTTTCAGTTCTGGAACCAGACTCGCTTTCTTCCTTGAGTGTTGCTCCCTCGGTCTAGAACTATCATCCTCTCCCTGCTAGCCCCACCTCCTACCACCAGCGGCCAATACTTACTCATCATCCCACAGATCTCAGCCTCAATGCACTTCCTTGGAAGGCTTCCCTCATCTGAACTAAGTGAGGTCCCCCCATTGATAAGCCCTCATTGCACACTGCGCTTCTCTGTAATGACATGTCTCTGCTCCTTGAGGGAGGAACCCTGTCTGCCTTCCTCACCACTGTTCCTCCAACACCCTACACAGACTTTTCACAGAGTAGGTGCTCAATAATTCTTTGTTAAAATCATGACTATAATGGCACCTACCTTATCAAGACCCTGAACTATTTTTTTAATTTTTATTTTATTTTATTTTATTTTTTTAATATATGAAATTTATTGCCAGATTGGTTTCCATACAACACCCAGTGCTCATCCCAAAAGGTGCCCTCCTCAATACCCATCACCCACCCTCCCCTTATTTTTTTTTTTAGTCTTAACTGATTTTCCTGTCAGTCTATTTCTCTGATCAAACCTGCAGCTCCAGCCAAGTTCACTGATCCCATGGGCACTCTGCATGTTCCCACTTTCACGCCTTTGCTCACATGTCCTGCATCTAACGTTCCCCCACCCGCCCCCCAACTCTCCATCAAATCCTTATCATCTTCCAGATCCTGCTCAAATTTCCAGCTTACTGTTCTAACACTTTTTCAAGCTATCATCTATGTCCTCAAACGAGGCAACTCTGAATATAAAGCAATCCATTTCCCCGATAAGATTCAAAAAAGTTCTTGAGGGCAACTTGAATAGACTAACTTCTAGGGAAGTAGATGAAAGTCAAATGTCTACATATATATGTATTTTTTTTGCTGCCCCCCACCCCGCCCCACCTGCGCCTCATAGGATTCTCTCTTTCCCTTTCTCTCAGCCTCTCACTCACTTGTATCCTCTCTCTCTCAAAAATAAATAAACTTAAAAAAAAAGAGAGTCTGGGTTTTTTGTTTATTCATTTGTTTCTTAAATTCCACATATGAGTGAGATTATATGGTATCCTTTTCTCTGACTGATGTATTTCACTCAGCACTATACTTCCTAGATCTATCCACGTTGTTGCAAACAGCAAGATTTCATTCTTTTTTATGACTAAGTAATATTCCAGTGTGTGTGTGTGTGTGTGTGTGTGTGTGTGTGTGTGTGTATGTGTATACACGATGTCTTCTTTATCCATTCATCTATCGATGGACACTTGGATTGCTTCCAATACTTATATAGTGTTTTACTTATGAATTTAGTTTATAGACATTTAAAATTTCATATTATTACTATCATGGAATAGTCTCCAAGATATAATATTAAGTTTAAAAAGCAACATAGAGAAAACTGTTTGCTGTTTGCTAACTTTTATCAGAGAAAGGTTGTTGGGATGGCTCAGTCTGTGGAGCATGAGATTCTTGATCTCAGCGTTGTGAGTTCAAACCCCAAATTGGGCATAGAGCTTACTTTAAAAAAATTATATATAAAAAAAGAAAGGGTGTTAGAACATAAGCATCTGCTTATACCTAAAAACCTATAAAGGAAGAATAAGTCATGAAAAAAATTTTAGGAAATAAATTCCTGTTGTTTATTTATTTATTTATTCTTTTCTTATTTTTTGAGAGAGAGAGAGAGCATGAGTGAGCAAGGGGCAGAGAGAGAGGGAGAGAGAGAGAATCCAATGAGGGGCAGAGAAAGGAAAAAGAGAGAGAATCCTGAAGTGGGGCACAAGCTCATCTGATGTGGGGCTTGAACTCACGAACCCATAAGTCCATAACCTGAGCTGAAGTTGGATGCATAACCAACTGAGCCACCCAGCTGCCCCACCATGAAAAAAATTTTTAAAGAGTTACCCATAGAGGAGTGAGGGAATAGGTTAGAGGAGAAAAGGACAGAAAATTAGACTTCTTTGAAAATACCTTATTTTGTAAATATCTTACATAATTTTATTTTATTTTTATAATATTTGCTTTTGGGGAGCGTGCACATGGGGGAGGGGCAGAGAGAGGGGGACAGAAGATCCCAAGCAGGCTCTGCACTGACAGGCTGACAGCAGCAAGCCAGATGCAGGGCTTGAACTCGCCAACCACGAGATCATGACCTGAGCCAAAGTCCGACACTCAACCGACTGAGCCACCCAGGTGCCCCAATATCTCACATAATTTTAAAACAACTAAAAATTTTAAAAGCAATTCCTAGAAATGAAAAATCAAATGAAAGCAAATGCCAAATTGATGGCA